AAAACAATATTATTATTTAAGAATGAACTGTACGTTGCAATGAGAAAGTTTTAGATCTATTCTGGATGGATGGTCCGCTAAATGGCCTTCCTGTTCTGTGTCACCTTGAAAGAGACAGTGCATTTATGCACTCGAGCTTCATACTCGATGACTTCTTCATAGTAACTGTCAAAGCCCCAAAAATCTTCTGATTCTCTGCATTCATTATTCGACACCTCAGATGAATGTAAACACTTCAGTGGAAATGTTTGAAGAACAGCAATGTCATGGCCAATATTCAGTTCTTCAGCAACATCACGACAAATCTGATTGTTGTAATTTGGCTGTTAATTTGACCTTGCTATGGGCAAAATGGCTGCCATATTTTTTGACATTAAAACGGTGATTACATTTCTTAAGTTATTAATCGGCTATAAAGCACTTTGGGATGTCTTGAAGAGCAGACGGTAGCACAATTAGTCTCAGACTTGTTCCAGTATTTCATCGAGTCTGCATTTCAGCTTATTTTCCTACTTGATGCATATCCCATTATAGCCTTATTAAATAGAAATCCATATCCTGTACTTAGCTCTAATTGTTATAACAGCCAAAAATCTTTGAGGAGAGTTTCAAATTTTGTCGTCTTTGTGTAAAACCTGTCTAACGTGGCCTAAAATAGCCAAATGCCTCTGCTGTTTGGGATGGAGAATTCCAAGGATTCATAATCCTCTGGTACAGGATAAAAAATACTCCCCATCTCTGTCTTAAATGGGAATGCACTTACTTAGAAATCCCGACCTCCAGCTATATATTACTCAAGAGGGGAAAGCATCTTTTCAAAATCTACACTTCAGTATAGAGTCCCTTTAGAATCTTAAATGTTTTAACAAAATCACTTATCCTGATCTCCAGTAGTTATATGCCCAAAATAAGGACATGGGTCCTCTCGTCCATCAATCACAAAATGTTAGGCTAGTCCTATAAGTAATTAGAAAGGCAAATGGAATGTTAATGTTTCTTGCAAGGGAGTTATGTGTGAAAGCAGGGAAGTCTTAATACAACAATGCTGGTCTACGGTGAGTCCAAACTTGGAGAGCAGCAATAGTTTTGATTTCCTGCTTTAGGCATAGATATTTTCTAAACAACCTGTTTAGGGATGTTGTTACACACTTGGGGACCAGGTGAGACTTGAACCTGGGCCTCCCGGCTTAGAGATAAGGACACTACATCTCTGCCATAAGATCCCTCTTGAGGGGGTATATACCGACAGTGGAGGCAGTTCAGAAGTGACTCACTAAGTTGATTTCTCGTACTGGGGCTTCCTTTATAATGAAAGACTGACCGATAACTTACTTTCCTTGCATTCCAGCCTCCTTATGAAGCCCCATTCTGTATTAGCGCTTGTAATTACAGTATTTGGATTCTTAAATTGCTGCTTCTCCACAGTCCCTGGTTTATCAACTTTCAGAAAATATTCTGAGTTGTTTTTCTTGGATCCACAGTTACCTTGCAATAGGTAACAATGCATAACATTTTCGTCGTTTTACCAGCTGTTTGACCACTGACCTGGCTTGGTTCTTCTGTTGTTGGTTTCTCCTGACAGGCCTTTTTGCTGTCTCTCCCAACTTGTGTGGTTTGGAAACCTTTAGATAAGTACAAATAATTTTATAACACTTTGGAAATTCAGTCATGTTGTTTGCTTTTTTGAGCCTGTCCAGAGTTGAATATCAGTTGTATAAATATTTTATGACTTCTCCCCATTTATTTGTGTGAGGAAAACATGTTACCCATGCTTTCTCCTGAATATTTGGAGTTTGTAGTCCTTGTCTTCATTTTGATAATCACTGCAATGCTTTTTAACTTTCACTATCTTCAACTATCATTTTTAACACTGGTTCAGCTCACTGTCAGTATTTAACCTTTGGTCAGCTTGGGTCCAGTACTTCCTTTATGATTTGGCTTTAATCAGCGTTTAATACATGCAATGTTTGATTTTCTTGGATGTTTTCTTTCAGGATATCTTCACTTATTCTTACCTATATAATTATTTTGTTCACTTCTGTTAAATTTTCTCTTAATGATGCCCCAACCTTTCCTGAGGTTTTGGAGAATTTACTTAGGTCTGGTGGGTTCCATGTCTTTTCATTTCTTGATAACTTTTAAGTGAAGTCCCTACAAAATTAGGAATCTTCAGTTTTCTCCCCCTATGTATTTGGATTTGCATTTCAGATCTCAAGATCCTAATATATTGGTGGACTCTGCCAATTCCCAGTATATGGGTCTTTTTCACTGGACCCAATTTAATGTAGTTTTAGTAAATCCGGAACGTTAATTTTGGAGTCTCTGCTGAGTGGATGAGACAGATGAACTGGGGTTGAGGGTTATGCATACTTTGCAATTGTTACCAAAGCAAGTTGGTAGGCTTCCAAGCACACGAGTCTTGACAGGACAATTTCTCAGGGTTTTGTAATCCCAACATTTGAAGCACTTGCCTAGCAGCAGAGTAATGGAAAAGACTTATTTTGATTAATTGAACTGTGTTCAGAAGAAGGGTCTAGGCCCAAAACGTCAGCTTTCCTGCTCCTCTGATGCTGCTTGACCTGCTGTGTTCATCCAAGCTCTACACCTTGTTATCTCAGATTCTTCAGCATCTGAAGTTCCTACTATCTCTGAAACAATTTTAGAATAATGTTTTGATTGTTAGTGAGAGTTAAATGGAAATTAGTCGCAGTTTTTCATACCTTCATTTTAGTGCTGATGCATCACAAAGCAAGGCAGTTATTCTAATCTAACGTACTGACATAAATTACAATGTTGCACAAGTTTGGAAAGTTCTAATCTTTAGTCTGATGGGTATTTGTTTACTGATAGAAGGATTTTTAAATATAACAGATATATTCAATCTCCACCTTCTAATTGTCAGTTGTAGTTTACAGTGTTTTGCAATAAATCAGAAAACATTATTAAAGTTTTCTGAGTATGCTATTTAATTTGACCATTCATAGTTGGTCAACATAAATCATTGATACCAGATTAAAAGTCCTGTTGTGTTTATGCATTTTCATTTAAAGCGTTTATTGTTTTATACAAATCAGAATATAGTACTTTGCAAAACAAATGTGTATGGTTTATTAATGCCTAGAATACAGAAAAATATGCCAAGGTACATCATACAGGCATAACATGAAATAAAAACACCCCAAAGAAGAAAAGATTAGGAGGGGTGACCAAAATCTTTGGGACTTAAAAGACTATCCTAAAGGGTGCTTCATTCCAGAAAGCTGGTTGGTGATGGGAAGAACTGGAGTCAACCTTGTACGCTTCATAATTTATTTACAGAGTTGCATATACCTCCTAATCGAACAACCAAAGTTTTATTTTGTCTGTTTATAGGGGAATTAAGTGAATGCCCACCAACTGCAAACATTAAACATTGTTAATATACAATTAACAAAGGAGGCGATGCAGTGTACATGATGAGCGATTGCAAGGTTTAAGATTTTCTGAATTTTGGTGTTTTCCACTTCGTTGTACTGTTGTTGGTGGACTATCCTGTGATCACATGATGGACAAGATCTTCAGTGGTTTGATTTTTCAGAGGACTCATTTAAGTCTCCTGACATTTAAACAGATGTTCGATGAAACATTGCACCACATCTGAATTTGATGCTCATACAAACAACAAGTTTTGAATCAAGAGTTTGAAACAGTTGGCTCATTATCTGTGTATGATTGCCGGGCTCCTCGGCTTCACTTGTGTACTTGTTATTCTTTAATAGCCTAAGTTGCAGACTCGGTAATAGGACTTTAGTATTACATCAAAAGCAAAATACTGAGAGTGCTGGAAATCTGAAATAGAAACATAAAATGCTGGAAATCTGAAATAGAAACAGAAAATGCTTGAAATACTCAGATCAGGTAGCATTTGTGGCAAGATAAACAGAGTTAATGTTGAATCATATTGAACACAGACTTTGCAAAACATCATATTTGGATTGCTTTACATTGTTTCAGCAATTGGATGCTTTGAAAGTGTCTTTTGTGATTCTGTTTTATACCCAAAACACAGGTTGACTGCAGTCCTCATTGAGCCAGTCATTAGACTACCATTTTGGAATACAGTGGACATGTTGCACAGTAAGCTAACTGCAGACTGATTGCAAGTTAAAATGCTCATTATTGTTAATGTGATGGCAATGTACCTATGGATCCAAACTGATTTTACTGGACATAATGCAGTGATTTTTATTTTAATTGCTGACATAATATGTAACTTATGGCTTAAAACTCATGCTATGTTGATTTTATATTTGATATAAATGTGCATAATTGGTCTTGTTCTGTTTTATATTAGTCAACATCAGATACATCAAATGGACCAGGACAACCAGCATCTTTTGGAAATGCCCCTCCCATGATTCCACCACCATTTGTAAGTAATGATGCAAGGTGGTGTTAGCTGCAGGTCTTTTTTTGCCTTTTGTAATATTATTGATGAAATATATCAATGCCATTTTCTTAAGATGGGACCGCCTGGTATGCCTCCACCGTTTCCACCTATGGGCATGCCACCCATTGGCCAGAGACCACCAAATATGCCACCTTTGCCACCAGGTATGATGCCACCAATGATTCCTCCAATGGCTGGACCACCAATGGGACAGGTAACTTTTCTTATAGCATAATGAATCACCCTATGGTATGTTATCGTTGGTCTACAAATTCAGTCATTCTTTTGGATCAAGGCATAAATATAAAGCTTTCATTTCTTCTACCTATTTTATATTTTGAAGATGCCTGGAATGATGCCTCCCATGATGACGGGAATGATGATGTCTCGTATGCCAACTGCTCCCATACAAGCAAGTGCACCTCCGGTAAAACATCTTTATTTTTGTGGTAATAAAAACAGAGAATGCTGGAAATGCTCAGCATCTGTGCAGAGAAAAGCAAGACTTAATGTTTCAGGTTGATGATCTTTCGTTTATTTCAGATTTCCAGCACTGTAGTATTTTGCTTTTTTATTTTTGCAGTGTTTGTTGATATCCTTTGTAAATATCTAACAAAATGAGAATGGTTATTACTAGTCTCCGTTGAATTACTGTCGCTTTCTTAGTTGTTTATCTTTTGAAAAACTCTAAAGCTACTCGTTAAAGTATTCTATGGAATTGTCACCAACTATAGTATGGCCATAGATTCATCTGACTCTTTGCAAATGTTCTTTTGCAGAAACAGTACATCTTCAGGGTACGTTTTAAGTGAGCTCGAAAAGATTTGGAACCATTGTTGGCAGTAGGGATGCTTTTGGCATTGTGCAAATGCTCTGAGCAAAAGCTTCCCGCTAATACCATTTCAGTACTCATACACCTATTATTTCAAGCTCTGCAGTTGAGTCCTCTAGAAATAGCGAATTCTGATAATGACTATACAGAAATTTGTGTTCACTTCCAATAAGTGAGCCTCCTTTTGCATGGTTTGTGTACCATATGCAGCATAAACTGCATCTTTTCTCTTATTTTACATGTGGCATAATTTTGTTTTGAGAACTAATAATTAGAATAAATAAATTGTATGAATTGAGCATTGTTTTTTTAAAAAAGTTTCCATTACAGCTTAGGAAGCAAAACTCTACAAAATATTCTTGCTAGTTCTTGATAAGTAACTGATGATTTGTGGAAGATATTACCAACAGCTCTTTAGATGACCTATTGTTTCCTTTATTTCACCAGCAAAAACAAGCAAAGTCTTGATGGTACCTAGCCAATATGTGTATATAGTTTTGTACAGTCCTCCCTTAAAATATTTATTTGACATCATTTGTTTTATTTTTCAACTGTAATCTCTAGAAATCCTAAGCTTCTGTTTGACAATGGTCTGTTTTGTTTGATGTGGCCTGCTACTGTGAGCAAGCATCCTGTGCAAATATATTGCTATACCTGCATCAGGGGACTCTCCTCTTCACTTTGTTTAGCATATTGCCTCTCTCCTCTTCCCAGCTGAAAGTTTTTCCCCTCCCATTCCAACACAGGATATTCCCCCCACCATTCTTCTTCTTCCTCCTCCCATGCCTCTATTTCCAAAAAGCAAGATCTTTCTATTTTGTAATACCTGATTTATTCAGTATGTACGAAAACTAGAGTACAGCTTCCAGCAGTGCACTTCATAAAAACAAATCAAATTCTTCCTCTGGTGTTGGTCACTTTTTTTCTTGCTTCCCTTCCTTGTAGCTCAATGCATTCATTCTCTTTTTTTTGTATTTTGCATTTAACTTTGGGTATTTCTGTTCCATTATACATTTCCTCTCTCGTACCTGTTTCCTTTTGGCATTGTGTTTAATGGAGTATTCTATAATGCACGTTTTCTTTGGAATTGTAAAGTTGTCATATAGTTACAACAAATGTGTAATTGAAATTTAGAGGAAAAAGAAAGTATAACTAGTTGGGTACTGCAAAAGATCATGCTTGGGCCTCAAACATTTAAAAGCCATATCAGCAACTTAAATAAACTGACCAAATGCAATGTATCCAACTTTGATGTAAAGCTAATGGCAAAATAAGCTGTAAGGACACAAAGAGCTGCAAAGGGAAATAGATTGGTTAAATGAGTGAGCAAGACAATAACGTGGGACCATGAATTTCTCCACACTGGAATGAAAAAAAAAAGAAAAAGTTTCTATTTTTAACGGTGAGAGCTGGGAAATAATAATACGAAGTGGGATCTGATTCTCCTGGCACGTGAATTATTGTGCAGGTACAGCAAGTATTTAACAAAGCAGATGACATGTAATGGATGTTAACAGATGTTAACATAAGATCTGGCGTACGACAGTGGAAAAAAAATTCTGACTGCAATTGTAATAGATCCTTGATGACACCGCAACTGATGTTACCGTGTGCAGTTTTGGTTTCCTTCCTTGAGAAGGGATATGCTTGCCTTGGGAGAAGAATGTGATGAGAGTTCACTTGAGATTTTCTAATCAGCTTGTTCAGAGATGTTATTACACACCTCTGGAGTAGGTGGGACTTGAACCCACCTAGTTCTGAGGTAGGGACGCTACCACCACTCCACAAGAGGCCTCTGAAAGTTCACTAGACCTATTTCATGGGTAAGGGGATTGTCTGATCAGAAGAGATTGAATAAACTAGGTGCATACTCCCCAGAATTTAAGAGGAGGATTGATCTGATTAAAGCACATGCAATTCTTCACTGATTTGATAGGATAGATGCTGGGAGGATGTTTCCCATTGACTGACAAGTCTAGAACTAGGAGTGAGCCCCAGAATAAGGGAACAGCAATCTTGGACTGAGATGAGTGGAATTTCTTCTCTCCAAGCGTTGTGAATCTTTTGAATTCTCTGCTTCCAGAGGGCTGTATAGGCTCGGTCAGCGGATATCTTCAAGACCAAGATTGATAGATTTTTGGATTCTTAAGGATAAGAGGATAGTACAGATAGCTGGAGTTATAGTAGATCAGCTGTGACCTTTTGACTGGTGGAGCAGGCTCAAAGGACTGGATGGCCTACTTTTGCTCCTATTTCTTATGCTCATAATTCCTTTTTTTCCTTCAACAGCCAGGAGTTAGCACCACAGTGACAGAAGTAACATCAGGCAAGTGTACTTATTTTAATATTTTCTTTGCTATATTTTTTTTTTATAACGAACAAAAAAAATTGTTAAAAGATGGCATTTCATTTCCATAATGTTAGGTAGCTCCATGTTGTCATATTAACATTTACACAGATTTAAATAGAAGTACAGCAAACTTTGTTTTAACCAGCACTCTTGATAAAGTGGCAAACGTTGTATACCTGAAATACCAGAAGTTTACTGTATTATCGTGATCTTTGATGTCCGAGTAGTCAGTTGAGAGTGTGCACTGAAAGGCTTTCTGCTGGTAAGTTTTATTTAAGGCAAAGTTGCATTATTATTTAAGTGATCTGTGCTTGAAATAAGGTATAACAGTGACGTGTATTACTTAGAGTGTGGTTTTACATTTACTATGTGGACCTCTTGATCAACTGGCACGCTCCTGGACCCATGGGTGTCGGTTAATAAAAGATTTGCTGTACAGTAATGATATTCTCAGGATAAATGTTCCCTATTTTCCTAGATAAAATAGATTTTGTAAAAGACATTTATAATAAACCATTTGTCAGAGCATTTTTGCTTTTAAAGATGCAAATCCTCACGATCTTCATTGAAAATTTTAAGAACTTAAAAATAAAACAAAGTACTGTTCCCTTTTTTGTTAAGGAACTTGAATTATATTCTAGTTGAGAACAGTTTATAACAGCATTGGAAAAAAAATACTGCTGTGATATCCTTCAGTGCACAAGATACTAAATGGAAGAGAATTGAGACAATATTATCAAAATATTTGATCTAAAAATGCTTTGTTTAGATGTGTTGCTTCCTTACACAACATAGTGTAAAATTGATCTTAAACAAGCCAATGTTTATTCTGATTTCTCACCACGTTTTTTTTCCAGCTTCTCCAGCCACTATAGTTCAGGTGAGTGGCTCTGCATGGCTGCTGTGTTTTCCTGTAACCTTTTTAAATTCCTTCTGCTTTTCCTAACCATTATTTAGTTCATTAAAAAAGTTACTCTCTATCAATACAAATTATTTTTTCTTATGTCACCTTTCACTTTACCAAGACACCTGCGGTTTGATTAGTGTAATTATTGTAACGTGAAGAGTTTTACTGTTCAACTTGGAATGTGCTTTGGGAAAAGAAGTTACTTTTCCATAATTTGGAAATGTGCATTCAGTTGTTTTTCAGTTAATTTTGGAAGTACTGTTTTGGAAACAGTATAAAGCATATATAATAAATCATGTCTATTATACATTTTGAGACACACCGGGCATATAAATTTCAGTCATTTGCTTATTTTAAATCTCTAGCTGACTGAAAGACCTGCATCAAAGTAATTCGCTTTTAATTGACCCCAAGACAAAACAGCTATTGGATCTTTTGATCTTAGTGATACACTAAGTTTTGCAGAACACAGCTGCGTACGTATACTGTGCATTATGGGGCAGGATATTCTTATAAATTTAAAAGCAAAAGAACTGAGGATGCTGTAAGTCAGAAATTGCTGGAAAAGTTCAGTAGGTCTGGCAGCATCTATGGAGAGAAATCAGGGTTAACATTTTGGATCGAGTGACCTTCCTCAGAACTCAGTTCTGAGGTACGGTCACTCAACCCAAAATGTTAACCCTGATTTCCCTCCACAGATACTGCTAGACGTGCTGAGCTTTTCTGGCAATTTCTGTTTTGTATTCGTTTAAATTCATGTGTCTGCGAGCATACTGCAAGCAATACTTGTTCTTTTAAGCTTCATCAGTAACTTATTATTTTTTAAATGATAATTTGGCATCTCTTTTTGAGTTCCCCATTAATATTTCTTGTTTTGTTACATTCACTATTGCCTTGTTCATCAAAATGCTTCCAAAACTGCATTTATTGGATGTTGTGATATAATCTTTGATTTTGTTTTCTGTTAGTTACTGATGATTTTATGCTTTAATATTCCCAGATTAGTTACTTCATTTTCTCTGTCCTATTCAAATATGTGATTCAACATAAAATTGAAACACAGTCTATGAAATATTGTGGCTGTGTGTGAAACTTGTGATAATTGGTGTAGTACCAAATTCAATCTAATTCTTCTTTCCTCATCATTTAAGTTTTACCTTTTTGTGAAAAAAGAGAGATTGAATTTTAGTTTCTAGATTCACGAATCTATGCAATAAAGAATATTTTCGAAAGGATCTTTTGATTTTATTGGAAAGCCTAAGGAACTGATGTTTTTCAGGTTACAAATCCTACAGTTTCTAGCGTTCAGCAAATTTCTACTACTAATGAATCTTCTGGAGAAGAGCAGACCAAAAAGGTATCCAGCTGTGACATATTTGAATTATCAGTAACTTGAGGTTTCCAAATTCCATTTAAAAAATTAATTATGATTTCTTGAGAAATGAAAATAAATACAAGCTTTTATCTATTTAACTGAATTTTAAAATAAATTAGTTGAATTACAACTTGGTTTAGAAATTGGATGTTGGAAAAAAAACTACAAAGATGTACTTGTACTCAATATAGCCCAAAGCCCTATCCAGCCAATATGTTACTTTTGAGGTATACTTGCTGTTTTAGGCAAATGTAGCGTAAACTTCACAACAAATAGCAGTTAATCTGTGTTAATGTTGAATAAGGGTTAAATATTGACAGGATATCAGGACAATTCTTCCACATCTTTGAATGATATGACATCTTTTTCATCCACATGTGTTCTGGTACTGTACGACTACTGAAGTCTCAGATTATGTGCTCAAGCCTTGACAGCAAAAGGCCTAAACCTATGCCCAAGCTCAGATGTGAATAATACTATGTCGCCAAGGCTAGTACTGTAGAGATAGACTGCTGGTAGTTTTTATTGTCTTGCGTATCTTTGAGTATTAAATATGTTGCTGTTTGGGGTGGCTGCAAAGCTGTCTTTCTTGCTCCATCAGTAGACCTCTTGGTCAAGCTACAGAATTGCAAAATGAGTGATGTGAAGGAGTTTGCATTTGCACTCTTGCTCCATCTTGAAAATGGTTTTGAGAGGATGGGTGCTGTTATTGTAGTGTAAAGTGAGTATTGTAGGTAAATATGAAAACAAAACATTGGATGTTGAAATTTTAAATGGTGACAACGCATGAGAAATGTTATGCAGGTCAGGCATGTTCTGTGAAGTGAGAAACACTTTGTATTTCAAGTCGTTGACCTTGAAAATACCAATAAAAGGTCAGTAAACTGAAATGTAAATCTCTTTTTCTCTGCAAAGAGACTCCCTACTTCCAGCATTTTCTGTTTCATGGTTGATGTAGATAGCTGTCTAATTTGCAAACTGTTGGAACTTATTTACAGTTTCTCCCAAGTGTAAGTTTCCAATTGCCATAGAACAATGAATTTTTCTAATGATGTATCCTATTGGTGGATTTTGTTTTCTTTCTATGATTGTCATTTTAATCTAATGTCATAACTGTTTTCTCAGAAATCTGTTTGGACTGAACACAAATCTCCAGATGGAAGAACATACTTCTACAATTCTGAGACAAAACAGTCGACGTGGGAGAAGCCCGATGAACTGAAATCACACGCAGAGGTTTGAGGAAATGATTTGGATATATCTAAACACAGGAAAATTGGACATTGACGTTATTTGAAAGGGTTGACAAGGACTTTAAAAGGGTTTATTCTTCATAATTCCACGTAATTTTTCTGCAGATTCTTCTAAACGTATTATTTTGCTTTCAAGTTCTTAAATACAAATAATGTTTCAATTTATAGAATGATTTCACATTATTAATTGGTTCATGACGTGGGCATTGCGGGCAAGGTCAGCATTTATTACCATCCTAATTGTTCTTGAGAGTGTGAAGGTAGACTTTTTTTTCTTACAACAGAATGGCTTGCAGTTAAGAGTCAATCATATTGCCTTTCACGTGAGATTACTTATGAAATCTGCTGAGTAAGGGTGGCAGGTTTCCTTCCCTAAGGCATAATAGTTAAACTGGTGTGTTTTTATGACAATCTAGTAGTTTCATAGCCATCATTACTGACAGTAGCTTTTTATTTTATTTTTATTAATTTAACTTAAACTCACCCAGCCCGTGTGGTGAGATTTGAACTCGTGTCTTTGGGTCAAGTGAGCAGAATGTCTTTTATGATATTAAGTGACTAACCATTATATGAATTGATATATTAATATAAGAATGTTTTTATATTTTAAGCAATTATTATCAAAATGCCCTTGGAAAGAATATAAATCTGACACTGGGAAACCCTATTATTATAATTCTCAAACAAAAGAGTCTCGATGGACAAAACCCAAAGAATTGGAGGAACTGGAAGGTAAAATCATTAATAGTTTCTATGGGAAACCACATCACATTTTAAAAATAAATAAATTTTTAAAAATAAAACTAACTTCAGTGATATTGTGCTTTTGATGGAAAAGACAAATGACCATAAAATTTCATTTGCAGGTTAACTGATATGATTGGCCTAATACTATTGAAAATTAGTGGCTGAAGTAAAATACTGAGAACTCTTGCCTGATTAAAAGATTTCTTCTTTGTTCAGGAACTCAACACTCATCCTTGAAATTATATAATTTCTTATCTTGGCCCCATGTGATTGGCCCTTTACAACTGAGATTGAGAAGGAGAGTCCTTCAGCTTGTGCTGAAATTGAACCCATGCTCTTGCATTTATCTCTGCATTGCAAACCAGCCTTCCTGCCAAGTGAGCTAACCAACCTCTATAATATACTTGCATTGGAGGCAGTCCAGAGAAGGTTGGCTGATACCAGGTGCCAAGGGACTGTATTATGAACGGGTTGAGTAGATTGAGCCGGTGCTGATTGGGATATAGAAGAATGAGAGCTTACCTTATTGAAGTACACGAGGTTCTGAGAGGACTTGACAGAGTAGATGTGAAAAGCTTATTTCCTCTTGTAAAAAGAGTTTAGGATCTAAGGGCATAATCCCAAATAAGGGTTTATAAGCCTAATTTTTAATTTGATCAAATGAGTGCATTTTAATTTTTTAAAGTGTTAGTTGAAGTCAATTAAATTTATCACGGGAACACCTGAGGCAGCGTAGACTGTTTCCAATGGCTGGAAGTCCAGAACCACGGGTTACAGTCTAAGGATCTGGTGTAACAGTGGGCTGTTGAGTTGGATGATCAGCTATGATCATAATGATGGTGGAGCATGCTTGAAGAGTTGAATAGCCTGCTCCTGCTTCTGTTTTGTATATTTCTATGTCTGCTACTTAGCAGTTACAGGTATCTGTGATTTGTGGTAAAAACATCTCTTTTTTTTTAAAAGAAACAGTGCAGTTCACAGTGAATTAAATTCTTGAGCAGTTTTTGGTGTCAAATATTGTACAATAATTTATTATGTGAATTAATAGCTAAAACAATCTTGCATACTTGGACAATTTATTCAATTGTTTTGAAAAGTAAATAATCTGATGCTATTTTTACTTTTTCTGCAGAAATGATCAGAGCTGAGGAAGAAAATGGGTATGTTTTAATTGTTTTAAAATCTTGTGAAATTGATACAATTGGGAATTAATCTAACATTCTGCTTTTTCAAAATGTGCAAATCCAGTGCTGATGAGAATTTTAATAACTCTCATTAAAAGGTTTGTATTAGATAGATGTTTTTCATCATTCATTTATTTGTCTAAATTCAAGTGTTAGATTCTAATGATTGGCTTCTGTTAGAATAGCTGAATTGCACAACTACAGTTGTAGACTTCTTTGCAGAATTTCTGAAAAATTCAAGTTGCTTCTTTCAATTCAAGTTGCTTCTTTCAATTCAAGT